GACACTGGGGTCTATTATATGACAATATCTAATGGGATTTCTTAATAATAAAAGCAGAAATACATCATACCAGCTCACTGGCATTCAGCTAGTTCCAATCCATTTTACTTTTGGAGATTTTTTTTGTAATTTGCTTAGAGGATGTGGATTTGTTCCGTCAGTCTATTAGTTTCCTAATTTTGTCCAATATATTGAGGTCTAACTTGCAATGGCTTTTTTTTCAGACTGTTCACAAATTACGCTGTAGATTTCTCAATCCAAAATTAATTAAGTTGCAATTAATGAAATAAATCTGGTTCGTGAATATCATTATTTAAGTATGACATCGGTCTGCTTCATGATCTTTGACTAATCCGCCCCACTGGTGTTTTCACACCATTCTGCCCCTTCTCTCTGGAAGTCCATTTTGGAGTCCCTCTGCCTTGCCCTCTACCTTTGCCTTCAAAGCCCACTTTAAGACCCATCTTTTCAACCATGCTTTTGGTCACCTTCCTTCCTCTCCCACCCCATCCACCCCCCAATTGCGTGAAGCACTTTGAGATACCTCCTGATGTGAAAGTTGCTAGATAAAAGCAAACTTATTATTGTTGTAATTAAACCCTATTATAAATTCAAATCTTTCCAAGCAAATATTCATTTTGCTGCTGTTTACATGATATAAAAGCATTTGAATAAATTAGAACATTATCATTACTCAGTGGAGTAGCACGGTCACAAATTATTCCCAAATAATTTTGACAGGATAAAAAAACATGCTAAGCCTTCAAGTAATGAGTCAACATTCTAGTTTTTAAAATTGTTGGGTGAAATGTGAGTTAAAAACGACTCAAGTTTAAGAAGCTGGCAGGCTCAATTGATCTCTTTCTGAAACATTTATTTTCAAAAAAGTCTTGTTTGTCAGGCATCCCATTTTCTAAATATCTTTCTTCACTGTCTTTATTTTTCTTTCTACATTTTATTTCTACATTTTACTGTTTCTTTCTGCTTTTTTTTGTCTGTTTGCTTCTCAGTCTCTCATTTCTCTTCAATTATCAATCTCTGTTTCTCTGTGTTCTCTTCAGACCTTCTACTTTCAGAACAATAGGACATAGGCAGTAGAACAGGAGGACAGAAGTATAGAGTTGCAAAGGGCAATTTCAGGACGCACATCATGAAGTTTTTCTTTCTCTAGAGAGTAATTAATGACAGGAAGGGTGGCTGAGGCTAGGACATTGGACTCATTTAAACAATAGCTTGATGCTGTGACGGGAGGGCTATTCTGGAGGAATGAGATCAGACGCTGCCAATGTGCTTCCTTCATCCGAACCAATCTTGTGATCTTGTGAGTCAGTCTCCCAGTTCTGCGGCTCAATATCTCTAGCCTCTAGCTCCATAATCTTTTACATCTCAGTTCAGCTCACCCACGAATACTATTCCCTCAATTGCAATATCACAACAATTGTATGCCTCTGCAACACTATTATACAGATTTAAAACATTTGTCTTCACTGTAGCTGTATTAGAAATTATTGAGAACTGCAAAATATATATACACATATTATTTTACATTACCTTTGACTTACATAGAATTAGATGAAACATTGTAGCATGGAAACAGACCACCCGTCTCAACTAGTCAGTGAAGACCTTTATTCCACACAAGCATCCATCTTCCTTATCCTCTTTCCCATACTCTTCAATTAACTTTTCCCTCATGTATGCAACAAGTTTGCGCATAAATACATTGATACATTTTGCTTCATCCAAATATTTGGGTTTGATTTCCCCATTCTCACCACCCTCTTCATAATGTTCCCCCTAAATTCCCTTTAAATCTGCTGCTGGCTATCTTATATTTATGCCACTTTGCTTTGGACTCGTCAATAAGTAGTAACAACCTACTAATGTCCACCTTATCAAATCCATTCATAACCTTAAATACAAAGTATAAGTTATTTGAGACAGTAATTCAGTGATACATGAGACAAAAGAATCGAAGTAGCTCAGTAGGGAGATCTTTCAGCCAACAGGACACAATAAAATTAACATGAAAGGAACTACTCTGCAGCAAAACAAAGACTGAGATAAATTGGATGTCTACAATGGTTTCAGTCTGGTTAGGAACCAGACAGAAAATGTTGTGGATTCTGATCACATATCATTTTTTATACTAAATACATTACTGTCCTTAATTAAATCACATTTATTTGACTTTGGAGTGGATATTAATGTCAGAGATTGCTTCAGTTAGTGTAATCCTATCCATTATTAGTACAATCTGCATTGGAATATAAGATAACAACGACAACAACAACAACACAACTACATTTGTACAGTGCCATTCATGTTGGAAGGACTTCCCAAGGCACTGGAACAGACGGAGTTACTGGAGCTAAGGGGTCGGTGTGGGGGAGGGTGGAGGGCAGGTGGGGGAAGCAGGGAGATCGAAAGCACGATTGAAGAGGAGGGTCTTGAGATGGGTCTTGAAGGTGGCAAGGGAGGGGGAGAGATGGAGGGACTGCGAGATGGAGTTTCAGAGGGTGGGTGCAGAGTTGCGGAAGGCCCGCCCACCAATAGTGGGGCGAGTAAGGCGGGGGACATGAAGCAGGCCAGAGCCCGCTGAGCGGAGGGAGCGAACAGGATTGGTAGGGGGTTAGGAGGTTGGAGAGGTAGGGGGGAGCAAGACTGTGGAAGGCTTTGAAGGTGAGGACCAGGATCTTGAACTGTATCCTCTGTGTGATGGGAAGCCAGTGGAGTTGGGCGAGGATGGGCGTGATAGGGTCATGGAGTCTGGTGGGGGAGAGGACATGGGCTGCAGAGTTCTGGATGATCTGCAGGCTGTTGAGGGAGGAACTGGGGAGGCCGACAAGTAATGAGTTTGCACAGTCGAGCCTCTATGTAATGAAAGCACATATGAGGGTTTTGGCGGCTTGCGGTGTGAGACAGTGGCGGAGCCGAGGATGTTGCGGAGGTGGGGAAGGCAGAGCGGGTTATGGCAGAGATTTGGGGTAGAAAGGATAGTTGAGGGTCAAACAAAACACCAAGGTTCTGGACTGGCTTAACAATGTGGAGTGTGCAACCATGGATGGTGATGCTGTCAGCGCCTGAGGTGAGCAGGCGCTGAAGGGAGCCGATCAGGAGGGCCTCAGTCTTGTTGACGTTCAACTGAAGAAAGTTAACTCTCATCCAGGACTTGATGTCTGACAAACATTCTGTCAGCACAGCAGTGGTCCTGGAGTCAAGGGTGGAGGAAGAGAGGTACAGTTGGGTGTCATCCGCATACATGTGGAAGTTGATCCCATGTCAGCGGACGATGTCACCGAGAGGGAGCATATAGATATTGAAGAGGAGGGGACCCAGGACAGAGCCCTGAGGAATGCCACGAGATGGTCCGAGGGCTAGAGGAGATAAATTGGATGTCTACCATAGTTTCAGTCTGGTAGGAACCAGATAGAAAATGTTGTGGATTCTGATCACATATCATATTTTTTATATCACTAAATACATTACTGTCCTTAGTTAAACCACATTTATTTGACTTTGGAGCGGACATCAATGTCAGAGATTGCTTCAACTAGTGTAATCCTATCCATTATTAGTGCAGTCTCCATTGGAATATAAGTTAAGAAAGATCATTCTTGTCTATGCAACTATTAAGAAAGTAAACAGTTTTAGATGATAAATGTTAGATTGTAGGTTGGTTTAGAGTGAAAATGTTCATGCTTTACTGCTCTTTGAAGTAACAAGTTTGAATCAGGCTGTTATAAATGTCTAAAATATATGGTCTGTGAAAGCCTGCTCCTCTCATAGACCGTATATATTCTTCCCTTTCAGGGACTCTATCATAATCTCTATAATAATCTTTGTATTTGAAGTAATGCCTTGTCATGTTGTTGAAACATCTTAAATTGTTTCATAGGCATATGTGGCAGCGAGTTTCACACAGCAAAATCCCACAAACAGCTATGAAGTAAATGATCAATTTCATCTGGGGGGGGTTGTTGGCTAGGGCATTGGAAAAAGCTCCCTTCTCTTTTTAAGTAATGCTATTTTTGAGTAGTGCCATGGGATCTTTAATATCTGTCTAGATAGGCAGACAGGATCTCACTTTAATATCTCATTTAAAGGACGGCACCTTTGACAAAGCAGCGCTCCCCCAGCTCTGGACTGGAGTGTTATCCTAGACTATGTATTTAAAGCCCTGACTTTGGGACTTGAATCTACAACCTCTTGATTCAGAGGTGGGAGTGATATAAAGCAAATCTGCTACATATTCATCTATCTGAAATGTTTTCTCTAGTTAAATGTGTACCACTGATCATCCACCCCACCAATAATACTCCCCACCCTAACAGCACAGGAAACATTGGGTTTGATAGGATATTTGCTCATTTCATTCCATTCCTGCCTCTAAACTATTCAACTTTATGCACAAACATAAATGTAGTTAGATATTTATTTAAAACTACTTTTGCTGAGAATCTCTCTACGTATACACTACTTCCACTTGAGACCGATTAATTGTAAATCTATTTTCTTTGGTACTGTGCTTGTGATCAAATTCAAATAGTGACTTACATCAACATTATACATGCTCCTGAGCTTTACATCATTCTATTTCATCCCGTCACCCCCACATGATTTGTTAAATTCAGGAACCAAATAAAATCACCACCAAATGATTCTTTGCTCTTTACAATACACAGAAGAAAACAACATTTGAAAACAACATGAGATCACAGTATCACAGAATATTACAGAAGAGAAACAAGCCATTCAGTCCATTAAAACTACGATGGTGTTTTCCTTCCCATGGGTCACTTCATTTAATACCACTCTCCTGTGCACTCCCCATGTCCTTTAATAATCCTCCATTTCAAGCATCTATCTAATTCTCCTTTACTGCAGTTTATGGACTCTGCTTGAATAATTCAACAATCATTTGTGAAATAGATGGTCACATTCCACCGGCCTCTGCGTAAGAGGTTATTGTCTGGTACTATTACAACTGCTATATGTACCTGCACTCTGTTGGTTTCCATCCTGCTCTTCTCATTGTTGGTCTGAGCAGCTTTCTCAGCTGCTTTCTTCTGAAGCTGTGGCCCTCTCCCGAAGAAGATGTAGTTTACAAAGGCGTACTCCAGTAAAGCCAGGAATACGAAGACAAAGCAGCCCATCAAGTAAATGTCAATGGCCTTAACATAGGGGATCTTCGGAAGAGTTTCCCTGAGGTGAGTATTGATAGTTGTCATGGTGAGTACAGTTGTGATTCCTGTAAAATGTTGAAAAAAAACAGAATCAATACACAGGAACATCTTTACACTGCAACATGCTGATCACACAAAGCACACACACTTACTGAAGCCAACTGTGACTGCCTGATCCTGACACATCTTCTCTTTTTAAGAGTATAACCATCTGACAATAACAAAGTATTATATAGATTTGTTATTTTCTGGTTGTCAGCAGTGCATTACTATTTGATAAATATGCACCAATTATACTAAAACATTGTTAATCCTTTGGTTTGGGCATTATCACACAGGAAGAATGCAATATAAGTTTATGTCACTTTTGTTAGTGGGGTGATATAATCAAAATATTTCAGATAAAAACAGTGTTTGAAAGGATAAATGTGAGGAACTATTTGGGCTTGCAGGTGATGAATTTGTTATTTCGCATTGTAGTGTCAGTCTTGACTGATATCATTATGTGAACTTCGCCTGATATTTAAACACATACGCACAAGATTGATGCTTTGTACTCATTTCCAGGTATCCATAGCTCAGTAGGTAATGTACATCCTCAGACTGTAGCACAGTTCCAGATTAGTGATTGTAGTTAAATACCTAGGGCAACTCTTGCAGCAGAAGCATCATAGTTGATCCAGAAGGATACCCATGAGAGAATTGTGATCAAGGTTGAGGGCATGTATGTTTGTAAGATGAAATAGCCAATATTTCTTTTCAGCTTAAAACTCAATGATAACCTTGGATAAGAACCTGAAAAAACAAATGCATAGAAATATGAAGCTTTACAACTACATAAATGAATACGCATAAATTTCACGAGTATTACCTCCACAGAATGACATTTGGACAGATTTCACCTATGTACAGCATAAAGGAAAAACCATTAATAATCAAAAGACATTTTGCTTGAAAATCCATCACCATTGATAACATTATAAAACACTTGTGTAATGAAAATGGTGCTTTAAAACTATGGAACAACTACACTGTTTATAATGTTTTAAAACATTAGCAAGTCAGAGATGGCCAACCTGTAACTATTCTATGTTTGTGTAATTCAGCCTCCATTCATTATTATGACTTACATAATAAGTCATTATAATAGGTTCTAGTTGATTGTCCACAGCTTCATGATGCAGAAAATATAAAGCTCCAGCAATACATGACATTATTTTCTGCACTGTTCTTTATCATAATCATGTCTGCTCGTAGCATTACATCAAATAAGTTAACACTAATATAAAGTGTGAGTTTTAAAATTGATACAGAGGTGATTCGCTGACTGTCAGTAAATTTACTGATCAGCAGAGAATAACATATGCTCACCTGTCAAGTCAGTAAACTTACCTAAGAATCTGTACTGTACCTGATAATGAAATAAGCTCAATTTTTTTCAGTGAAACCATATCCAACTATGTTAGCTCTAACAGGCTGAAATAGAAGTATTTGAGAGGAGGATAAAATATATTATACAGTGTTTGGTTTAAGCTATCAGTTTCTATTGTTTGTTAAATGTTTTTCTTCCTCTTCTCCAGAAGTTATTGACATCATAAGATTGACTTGGATGAAGAAGGCCCTTTGGCCCATCCAATCTCATTTTTCTTGAACACACACCCTGCCCCCTCACCAACCATCACAGCTAAATGAGTCCAGTGTCCTGGCCTCAACCACCTTTCCAGTCTTTGATTACCCTCTGAGTAAAGTGAAACTTCATTGAATCTGTCCCAAAATTGCCCTTTACAACTCTCAACTTGTGACCTCTTGTACTGTCTTGCTACATCCTAAAGTATCGATCTGGGTTTATTTTTTCAATCCCATTTAAATTGTTATACACTTGCTGGAATATAGCCCCCATTCACCTGTTGCTAACTCAATAAACTAGCTGTTCTTCACGTCTGAGCCAGATTTGATTTGGAAATTTATTATCTTGAAGCTTTCAGTGAGCAAGGCAGACCATCTTATCAACATGTCCCAAGAAATTTATCAATTACATGATGAGATTGGGTATACTTTCCTACAACTGCTTTTTACCTCCACTAATTTTCTCGTCCAATTTATTCTGCCTTCTTCCTCTCTGGCAGATAGCAGACTCCTACTGGAATAATGCCCCAAGACTTTCCTCTAGTCAAGTACTCATTATTCCTGTGCTAGTCTAAACCAACTCTCTGCTTGCCGGACTTCCCAATTCTTCCCAATTCTTCCTACATAAACTGCAGACCATCCAGAACTCTGCAGCTTGTGTCTGAACCAGGTTCCACAAGCCTATCATTCCCATCTTCACCCGGTTCCACTGGCTCCCCCATCCGCCAAGTTCAAGATTCTTGTCCTCACTTTTAAAGCTCTCCCAGTCTTACACCATCTACGTCTTTAATCTTGTAAAATCAACCCACCTCCTCCTCAGCGAGTGCTGGTTGGCCTGCTTCACGTCTCCACTAACTGCCCTACCAATGGCAATTGGCCTTCCAGCCTCTCTGCCCCTGTTCTGGAACTCCATTGTGGAGTTCCTCCTCCTTGCCTTGCCTCCTTCAAGGTCCATCTTTCCCAACTTCCCTACCGCATCTTGGCTAACCCCCCTTGAATCGAACCCCCAACTTGGGTGCAAACTCGCCAGGCTTTCTAGGTTTTTGGACGTCCTCCCAATGTGAAAGGTGCTTCATAAATGCAATGTTGTTGTGTGAGCTATTAGAAGACTGTGTCTGTCACTCTTAGCCTATGGGCCATCAAAGCTGAGTCCAATCCTATCTTACCCAACATTCAAACACACACACCTACATGCAGTGATCTCTGTTTAACAGTTTGGAAAGTGAAGCATAATTTTTCCCATTCCTGTTCCTGGTGCTGAAGACAATCGTACTGCCCCAAATGTCAAACAAATTGAGTTAGGCTGATTAGCAACAACAATAACATCTTGCTTTATATAATGCCCTTAACTTGGGGTAATGTCTCTGAATGTTAAAGGAATAGGCGAGGATTTGAATCTGTGACTGCGGCCTGAATGCCAGTCTTCACCAGGAGATACCTTTGCCCTGTTGGCCTTTACAGGAACCCTACAGCAAATTTCAGTGTCGTAGGCACACAGCTTTTACAACTTGAATGGAACTGTTGGATTCTGTTATCAATATTATAAGACCAAAATTCAAAGATACCAAAAGCAATGTTGATTTCTGACAGACTATTTGTAAAGATTTACTCTGGATATAATTACTAATCTTTGTTGACCAAAAGATCAATAATAATAATATATGCGTCAAATTCAATTCAAGAATTCACATGTGAATATTCCAACTTTGTTCAAAATTCCAGGAACAAATTAAAGGCCTAATGAGACTCAATAAGAAAGCATGAGATTCTTGGAATACAGTCAAGACTTCATTTAACAAATGTAAGGGAATCAATTAAGCAATTCTTATCATTGGCTCATCTTATAGAGGCTTGAGTTTCTTGACAGATGTTAATGGGAAACTGAGACAGTGGAAAAGCTTTGTTATAACAAGAAGTTGTCATTACAATTCCTAATGAGATTAGACTGTATCTCAATGTTAATGGGCTCTAAATATATTTAGGCAACGGTCTGACATAATCTACTTAAGTTTATGATACCTATTAGTGTACAACAATCATACGCAAAATTCATTGATAGAAGTGACGTAGTCTGAATTTCTTATTAAATGGTTTACCTGTGGCAAAAACCACTAGTTTTGAAATCATCTGGTGATCAACTATGTCGAACTGTGGCAATTCAATCTTTTCTACTCCTGTGACTGCATATTTACCACCGCTCCAATAGAACTGAATATCATCGGTTGTGTAGCCATCTGTAAAATAAAGGGATGAAGTATTTTAAGTGAGGAATAAGAATAAGTGATGAATAAGAATAAGTGGAGTCCTGTAGCTCAGTGGTTAGAGCACTCGCTTTGCAAGTGAGAGACCTGGGTTCAATTCCAGGCAGGGCGAAACCTTGGGCACGTTTCCTTACTCCACACACCTAATAATAATCCCTCCAAAAAAAACAATAATAAATTGGTCATTTTCAATCCACGACTGTTTGTGGGACATTGCTGTGCGCAATTGGCTGCCGCGTTCGCCCACAAATATACAGTCAATTCACTTTACAGTCTATTCTGTGAAGCGCTTTGAGATGTCGAGAAGATGTGAAAAGCACTACATTAAATGCAAGGACTATTATTATATTACTATACCAGGACAGAAGATGTGTTTTACATCCAGTTCAGTGGCAAACATTATATTCTGTGAAGCGCTTTGGGACGTCTAGAAGACGTGAAAGGCGCTATATCAAATGCAAGGATTATTATTATTATTATTAAGAATTTTTTTGAACAGTACAATACAATTCAAAATTACATTTGTATAGCGCCATTCACGTTGGGAAGACGTCTCAAGTCGTTCTAGAACGTGTGTTCACAAGACAAATTACAGTAACAATCAAATGTAAATCATGGTATACTTCAGTGAAAAGATATTTCATTTGTTAGATGCCTGCACTGTAACTTATACCCTCACTGTCTGTTTATTGTCACATCACCGGGTGTCTTGCTCAGTAGATTTGGTGGGTTGAAGGGAGACCACGAGATTGCAGATTATTTTGAGTAATTGGTTTGTATATAATCAGTGGATTTGATGGAGTCCATTGAGAGAATAGATTATATTAAAACGAGTGGGATGGATTGTCCATGAGAGGGTCGATTGTGTATCATCAGTGGGTGGATAGTCCATGAGAAGGCAGATTGTATATAGTCAGTGGGTTGGATAGAGTTCATGAGAGAACAGGTTGTATATTGTCAGCAGAGGTAGCAAGTGTGTGTGTGTGTGTGGGGGGGGGGAAACTGAATGACTCTTATTTTGTCCTGTCTTCACTTATATTCTGGGATAAGTATTGTAGTGAGTTACAGACCAACAGCGAGAATTTGCCACATCACATTAATGAAATGGACTTATTCTTATAGTTATGAACAAATCTAATTTTTAATTATTAAAATCTAAAATATTTTTGATGTCATTATTAAAACAAATTCTATATGAAGTCTGGAATACAGTTTGTAAACTCTCAGATTATCAGCAGGTATTTGAAGACTCATCTCTGGGGTCTGACAGTCAGTACATTTTTAGTCTCTGCACAGTAACACTGAAAATTACAACAACTTGCATTTATATAGCACTCTTCATGCAGAATAGCAACTCAGAGCACTTCCTATTAATATTGGTAATTGCCAATATTGCAATAATAAAGTTATACAAAGACTGAAATTGTTTACTAATGTAATATTGTCCTTAACCCAGAGTGAGCCTTTCCTTGTGAAATGCTGGTGCAGAATGAGCTCCCCATAGCTGTTCATTCTTCAAATTTAAATAACCTTTAATATAATTGCAAACAACAACAATTTGCATTCATATAGCGCCCTTTACACAGGGTAGTGGCCCGGTGCACTTGACAGTGGCGGAGTCTGATCCTGAGCCAGGAGAAGAGGGAGAGGGGTGGTGACCGTAAGCACGATCAAAAAGGAAGGTCTTTAGGTGGGATTTGAAAGTGTGGAGGGAGGGGCAAGGCGGAAGGATTGAGGGAAAGAGTCCCGGAGTTTTGGGGGGTAGTGGCTGAAGGCATTGCCACCAATGGTGGAGCAGAAGGGATGATTGACAAGCAAGAGGCTGGAACAGCCGAGCAGAGGCCACGGGTGGTGGAGTGGTGGGTAAGCAGATCGGATAGGTAGGGAGATGCGAGGGAATGAAGAGATTTGAAAATGAGTAAGAGGATTTTTAAAATCGATCCATTCAGTAATTGGGAGCCACTGGAGCCTAGCAAGGACTAGTGTGATGAGGTCATTTCATTTCAGAGGATTATTTCTGTTTCTCGCATTGGCTTCTACAATTTATTTCCCATCAGGTTTTTCAAAGCCCCTTTGCAACCTGTTTTGTGATTTGTTTACAAAATAACTCCATCTACGATTGTCAGTAATTAACCCATATATTTCCCCCAAAAACATTAGAAATAAAGATAGGAAATTGTAACCTGTGGCTATACATTGATCTCATTTAGGCTCATCTCCATTCTGCCTCTTAATAAAACATTTGCAAACACATTTGTGGGTTCCACTGTTGATCTTTAATAAAGTCTTCACTCCTGCTTTGGTTGTGTAATTCTTTTGTCTGTTGGTTCACATTCCAGTCCTTGACTAGTTGACTTGCCATTATACACGCACTCGGCATTTTCAATCAATTGCATTCTCTTCATCTGCACCAACTCAGACATCACAGGTTTTCTTGGTTTCTTCATATGTCCTGTACATTTAGTCTTTTGCTGCCATCACAAACAGAACACCTCACTTTGCCATCAGAATCATCAAGTTAAACTCATATTTCTCTTTTCAGTCCATCTTTCAGATGTGAGCACATCATAAAACAGAAACATCAGATTCTTGACTTGGTTGTAACAAATACATCTCATTGGGACCTTCATTTAGAGTACTCAGTTTCTAAATTCTATGAATTTTGAAATTCTGTTTCATAATCCATAATCAACACATCTTACCTTTAGAAAGCATTGTATTATTGCTTCAGTAGTATAAGAGAGGTATTATTAAAAAAAAATCCTTTTACGTGGTTCGACTGTTAGGGAGTCATAACCTGGGACAAGTACGAAAATAGAAAAGTACGAAAATATTTGCAAAAATTGTGGAGCACTTTGCGTATTTTGCGGGAAATTCCGGAGGGCCAGTTGGTGCTATTCAGAGACACATTTTTCTTCTAACCTATATATTTTTTCTTTTCTCATTTTTAAAAACTAAACATGATGAAATAACACATCATAGATTATTGGAAAAAAAAACTTCCGTGTCCTCAACATGTTTCTTCAAAAATGCTTCATGCTCATGAATAAGTTCCTTCAAATATGTATTACGAAGCTTGATGGTGTTGGAATAGTCCCTCCCTGTTTTGTGTCTTGCATACAAACTCATGGAAGGCAGGAGCTTTTTCAAGCAATATGTCTGCTCGAGTCAAACACTGCACAAAGTCCAATATGAATTCTTTCCTCTCCATAGATGATGCAGTGGCTCTAGAGAAGCAGGTCACTAGAGCAAGTTGTCTTTGAGGTCCAGATCTGCCTAGAAAGAAAAATATAACAATTGATCTTCATGATGCATTTGTCGTTAGAAATGTTCTTTCCATTTGTTTTTGTTTGCTGTGGTTGCTTTACGTGCTTTTAAAATTGAATCAAAAAGGAAGGAGATTAACTATTGTAATCATACAAATTAAGATTTTCTTTCTAAATTAAAGTGAAAACAAATAATGATACAATTTCATTTAATATTATATACATCAAAAGTATTTTACCTTCATTTTTTTCTTTATTGCCGCTACTTTGCGTTCACATTGTTGCTGAGATTTCATGTGCTCATCAAGGGTGCACTTGCTAACATGGTCAATTGTATGACAGCAAACACGGCAAAACAACTGCTCCTGTCTTCGTAAAGGCCATCTGGATAGAATACAATTCTATCTGAGGGACAGACGGAAATTGAGAAGTGTTGTCCCTTGGCTTCCTTACAGGATTTACAAAAACGTTTGGTCATTTTTGTATTGTACAACCTAAAAAGTGAAACAACCCTGATTAAAACTATAGGTATATATTTGCTGAAAATGTAGTTATGTTTAAAATACTAAATATTTTAATTTGAATAGTACAGCACTTACCAAGTATTCATCGCAGTACAGTAGTGTGAAGCAGCTGCTTTTCCTATCGACGTTTACTCACAAGCGAAGTTGATTTCCTGCACAATCTGCTTCCGCAATCCTCAAATTCACAGCGCAGCGAATGCGCTATCGGAGACGCTCCAGCCATAGTAGCGGCGTCAAGCAAACAGCGCAAAAGGCCTGTGCCTCTTAGTTGCTATTAGTTTGCGCACTGCGTGTAAAAGCTGGTACCCGAGGGGATGTTTGTAGCAGGCTTGTAGCAGACGAGGACCGTTGAGGCGGAAAATGCAGAACACGTGCACCCACACTTTTCTATTAGACATGTCCTCAACCTTATGAACTAAAGTCCTAATGAGTAGAATAATCCTAGTGAGATAAGTGTTGTAAAATTTTCTAATGGTTTTTAGTACTGCTGAAACTCATATCCAAGACTGTCACGTCAAGGGTATACGCCCCTCCTTGCTGGACTCTCTAGTTAATAAACATGTTCAATGCATAAAGGAGCCTTTAAATATGTAATTTACAGCACCACTTGCATTTATATGGCATGCTTCATGTCAGCTGGCATCTCAGAGTGGAACAAATTATCCACCCGTAATTAGTTACAGGTAATTCATAATCCTTTTCATTTTAAATCAATCCCTCGTGTTTGAACATGTTTAATATGCACCATAGATCCATTGTGTAGATTTGAGCCTTTCATAGTAAAACACCAATAATACAGTTATAATTTTACTTATCTCTAAAGGTCATTGACAACTGATTGTCCAATATCAATTAGACCAAACTTCATCAAGATAACTTGTCTGAGTTAATTCAGTTAGATAGCTATTGCTCCCATATGTGTTCTCTGATATATTAGGAGTAACTGAGAGAATAAGTTCCACAGCTGAGCTACTGGACTGCAGTACCACTGAAACATACCCTTAGTCACTCCTTACATTTGTGAAAAAGTTGTGTACTTTCAAAAATGAAAAATTTCAGCTGATAGTTTAATGTACAAGGGATATGGGAATTTTGCAATTTTTTTTATTGGACATTATTGTGCTAAAACACTCCTACTCCATTCTGTTAGTGGATCATTTAAAAATATTACAATGTCAATATT